GAGAGAGAGAGAGAGAGAGAGAGAGAGAGAGAGAGAGAGAGAGAGAGAGAGAGAGAGAGAGAGAGGGAGGGAGGGAGGGAAATGGCAGTAAGAAAGCAACATAGCAGTAGGAGAAGTGAAGGAATGTAAGGAAGAAATGATGACCGTAATAGAGGATGGCGAGCTGACATGAATGGTTGGTGTCACTGCCGGAAAGAGGTCGGAGCTCTACTTGTGGTTGCGGAATTGTCATTCCATTTGACGTGTAATTTGATCGCACAGAAAAGTGCTTTCTTTGATGAATTGGTTGTTGCTTGCTTGGTCACTTTGTTCATTGACTGTGTTACCAGCCACTCCGCAAAGGTTGGACCACCTGGAACCAAATCTCTGTCAATCTGGACCACCTGGAACCAAATCTCTGTCAATCTGGACCACCTGGAACCAAATCTCTGGCAATCTGGACCACCTGGAACCAAATCTTTGGCAAATCTCTGGCGGCCTAGGTTGTCTCAGGTTGGTCCGGTTGGCCTGGCCGGGCCAGGTCTCGCAAAGTCCCGGTGAAGATAACAGGTAGTTCCAGAAGGGGAAAAAAAAAGAAAAAAAAAAAGGAAAAATCTATGTCATGCAGAATTTCAAACCAACGATATTTTGCCTGAGGGTGACCACGAAATCGACTCTTGTCAGGGACGCTGGGCCCGGTTCCTGGCTTTCTTATCACTAAAGATCGATCCTTTTTCAAAAAAGAGATTCGCTATGGAATCCGAAATAAAAATAAAATTATAATTATAAAATAGTAAAATAATAAATTGTATCATACCCCTTTATGCCCCTTTCAAGCCCCTTCGAGCCTTTTGAACTCCGCTTGTACCCCATAGACACCATTTGGTGAGATATCACCAAAGTCAAAGATAAGGCCGCGGATCTGGGCACGTCTCAGTTGGCGCAAAATTGCCCCACTGCCCAAGAAATAAAAAAGAAAAAAATTGACCCCCTTTTTGGTGTCGCCCGCGATACCCCAGGCGAGTCAAACCCCGTGCATGTTCGTCTGGGTTGCGCCCGGCCGGGCGACTCTGGTAATGCACAGCCAGTTGATTGATTTATGTTGTTGCATTCATAGTGATAGTTTGGTTATCGACTGAATGACTATTGATTGCTTGATTGGTTGAGTGAAAGATTGATCGTTTCGCGAGCAGAAACGAGTTTCAGGTTGAGTGAAAGTGGAAGGGGTCGTCTAATCGAAGACTGCAGCTATTCCTCGAGTAGGTCCCATCGGTGTTAACTTCTAAGCCTTAAGCCTTATGTTTTTTTGCGAAATTCAACTCAATCTAACCAGTCTTTTTTTCGCGGCTCGTGTTTTCTCTATCTCAGCAAGACTATAGCACCAGTAGGAGTGTGAGTGCAGAAATGGCCCTTACCTGTCTTCCCCCGAACAGAACATACGGTCATTATCGCTGTTTTTCTCTTGACAGAAAGTTACATCGGTGATGTATTTTCTATGGACTGAAGTGACCAGAAGCTGAGGTCAAATCTGAGCCTGGCAAGTCGTAGATGACTCGTATCGTGGATCGATGCGACCCAGTGAGTGCTGGGTGAGACTCGAGAGGTGGTAGTCTGTGCTAGATTTGAATGGACCTGGTCCGGTAATGTTTCAGGTTTTAAAGATCCTTGGTTTTAACTCAGACTGGCAAGCTCTATTTTGTCTTGAAAGTTCCAAAAGACTGTCATTGCAAAATCTCAGTGCATACTTAACGCTAGCATTTTCCTAAATGTATGGAACTACAATTATGACCGGCCTGGATGAATCTGACCGCAATCACATCCAGGGCCATGTAGAAAAAAGTCCAAGTGTGAGTATGCCCTCAGTCAGGATGGTGCTTTCCATCTCAGTCGGGTTGATTCGTTTGTCTGCTACACAGTTCTTCCAACTACACACCCTGGAAACAATTAACCCCGCACACATGTTTTTTTTTTTTCTTTTTTCTTTTTTTCCTCAACGTGAGACCATTTTTTTTTTTTGGAAATTATTAAATTAACGAGGTCATTTCTCAATTTATGCGTCTTCCTTGTGCAGGGGCCATGGTAATCTTCTCTGCATCATTCCAAGAAAAGAAAAAAAAATCTTTGTATTCAAGTGTATTGTTCCTTTCTTTTTTTTTTTTTTTTTTTTAGTAAAACTGAAAAAACGGTTGAACCACCCGTTCACATAAACCTAAGTTGTGTCCGTTCGGGCCCGGGCTGGTACGCAAAGTGGCCGGCCACTATGAACCGGCGCAGTTTGCAGACTCGCAAGCATTGGAACTTGGAAGGTATCTTTGTGAACTCAGGCTCGTTTGGACGGAGCCGGCAGGGCTCGGTACCGTTTCCACTTCGTCGTCCGAATCGCCCAGGAACAAACGTGGACCCGGCCTTGGCCGACTACCGGCACCAAAAAAAAAAATAAAAAAAATTCACAACGTTTTCATATAAATAGTCTGATGCCGAGCCTCGGTACCTCTGAACTCTTTATTAGGGGAATTTGGGAAAATTCAAAACTGCCAGTTTTGAAGTTTCCCCTATTTTCCCAACACTGGCGGAGGTACTAGTGGTTTAACCGCGACTGCTTGAGGCCGTAGAACCGTCAAATTAATGGTTGTGGTGATGTATTGGGGCTGCAATTCCACCGGCAGTGGAACAGAGTCCGCACTCGCGGCCGCTGCCTTCTACCTCTCCTTCTCGTCACCCTTTTACCCTCCCGCCCGCTCTGAAACCCCACCCCAAACTCTTCCCAACTGCCCTCCTCTCCTTCCTCTCCCCTCATTTTCTGCTTCAACGGTGACAAAACAGCAAAAGAACGAAACAGGGGAAGAAAAAGGTGAGCAGTGTTATGGCCGTCATCTGGGACGCTTAGGGTAGTAGTCGCGACTGCAGTCGCTTAAAGCCTTAAAGGCTTGAACCACCGTAGTACACCGGGCCTGGAGGCTCGTTTCTGCGCGCCAAGCTTTTCTGAACCGCCAGCGACGCACTTTCATTTTTGGCTGGCGCCGCCAGCCATTGTGGTCCTGTAGGCCAAGCCTCCGAATTTTTTGTAGGCGACGAGTTGCATTTTCAGCAAGGCCGGGGCCGTGTTCTGGCCGTTTAACATTGCATGGCACGGTCTGCCCCTGAATTAGAATGCATGGGCATTATTATGTCTATGTAGGCGGTTGGACTTGGCAAATCCGCATTTCACAATCCAGTTCTGATACCTTATTTCCCTGTTCGTGAAAACCTGTAGCCTGATTTCAGTGGTGTCTGAATGGTCAAAGCTTGAACCCGGCACGGCGAAGCATGATAGTTCGGTGCCGAAGTTTTTTTTTTTTTTTCCAAATTATTTTAATTATTTTAATAATTTAATTATGTGTATCAAATTCACCTTTCACTACCTACCAACCGGCGACCGCTCCTCCTGAGAGTCCTAAGGCTATACAGGGGACCCCTGCAAGCAACCCCCATTCACTGACATTCAGTTTAAAATGAGATTGTTTTTCTAATTGTGCAAAATCGAATGTCACAGAATTTGAATTTTCTAAATTTCTAAAAATGCTTTTCAAGCCATGCCACTACACACCTATAAGGAACAATATTTAACAAGCATTATTCCTTCGTCAAAAGGTGAAAAAATAAGTAGAAAGTACTGCTTACTTAGGCTTAAGAGTGATATTTACTCTCAACTGCAAGCATAAAGAACACTAGCCGTGATTTAAGAGCGACTGTTACTCGGCAGCCAGCGGCCTAGCTCAGTTGGTTGAGCACCTAAGTGGTGTTCAGGAGGTCATAGGTTCAATTCTGCGTGGCATCCATTCGTCTCCCCATGACCTCCTGCTGCCTACTTCGAGATCACCACCTGAGATAGTCGGATCACCCGCCCTAGTGAGTCTTGGTGGAGGTAATTACGGCCCCTTCCATCCGTGCTAGGGGTTAGATTCAACCCTGAGGGGATAGGCTCAACCGGGGAGGCTCAACCCCGAGGGGATAGGTAGGCTGAGATGGAGGTAGACAGGCACAACCCATAACCGTGCAATAGCTTGCTTCTCATTGCTAGATTAAGACAGGGTGTGTGCTCGGACTAAGGCAAAAGACAAAAAGGGGAAGTCTCCACAATAGATAAGGGTAGGAAGGTAGCTAGCGTGAGGTAGATATAACATTGAGAGAAGAAAATAGGTAGTAAATACAGCTTGTCCCCCATATGAGGAGAATGCAAACTATATATATATATATATATATATATATATATATATATTCTGTTATATTAAGTTGGTAAAACTCCGACGAAACAATTTGTCACAGCCCCTTGTTTGTTGTCCTCTTCTCCTTCCCTTTCTACCAACGGATTACCGTGCAGCTCTGTTTGACGATATACACCACAACGTCGCTAGCACCCTGCTACGGTTTTCTCCGGTCAGGTCGAGCGGTAGTCCGTCACTACGCGGCCATGCTGTGCCTCTAGTGCCAGCGGTGTGTCTGCAGTGTATTTTTTGGCTGTGGTAGACCTTTCTTTGTTTCGTGGGTGTTTTGCTGGCTTGCGGTGGGGTGTGAACCGACGGTCTGTAGACTTTTCCATCTGGTGTGGGGGAGCGATAGTCTGCTTTGATCAACCACCCAACCAACCAATCAATCAATCAATCAATATATAAAAGAGTTATTAGGAAACATGAAATTCTATCATTAATTGATTATTGATTGATTGATTGATT